GCTGCCTTCAGACTCTTTATATATATATATATATATAAAATCATGTTACATAATATATAATTCATATATATTCATATACTATTTCATATATATACATAACCCTATTCCCCATGACTTATCATTTTCCCAAAGATTCTACCTCTTAATACTATCACATTCGGTGAATTTGGGGGGGAACATACATATTCAGATCATAGGAGCAAGCTTGGTAATTCTTCATTCATAATGATTTTTAGTTGTAGGTAATATATTGAAATTATCACAACAGAAGTAAGTAATATATCCTTATTACCCACCGTCAAGCACATTTTTTACATTCTATTTCTCTTGTCCTTTTTTCTCTGAAGAAATTTCATGTAAATTGTTCTGTATGGTAGGCATGCTGACCTCTCAAAGGTGTCTGTTTTCTTATTCTTTGAACCTGTAAATATGTGAGGTTACCTGGCAAAGGGGAATTCAGGTAGCAGATAGAATTAGTGTCACTAATTGGCTGACTTCAGAGACAGTAGTCTCGATTACATAGGTAGGCCCAGTAATGTAACCACAAAGATTCTTAAGTCCTCCTGTGAGGAGAAGAGAAAGTGATGCCAGGTAACTCAGACCTGCTACTGTTGATTTTGGAGATGCGACAATGTGAGTGGCCTCTAGATGCTGGAAAAAGCAAGGAAAGGGATTGACTACAGAGCCTCAAGGAGGGAAGTGGCGCTGCTAATACCTTGATTTTAGCTCAGTGAGACCTGAGTCAGACTCCTAACCTATAGAACTTTAAGATAATAAAATTGTCGGTTTTTAAAAAGTCACTGAGTTTGTTGTAATATGTCAGAGTAGCAATAATAAACTAACAGTCTGTAATGTAGTCTAAAGAATATTAAAGTTTAATATTTTTTAATATTCAAAAGAAATAAAGTATGCAGAAGTACTTAAAAACTGCAAAGCATTTTATTATGAAGTTTTAACATTTGAATTATTATAACTGATCAGTGAATAATTACTATGTACTGAGGGAAAAGTTGAGGAAAAAGAAGACTAAGAAGTGTGGACTGCAGTCTGTATTCTGCTGTAGTAGTTCTTGAACTACTTAAAGATTCAGAAATGTTTATTGGAAGAGTGATGAACTGTATCATGATACACCTGAAACCTAGAGAGCTAGACCAGAGTTTGAATGGTGAAGGGGCCAGAGTATTTGAGTCCAGCATCCATGAAAAGGTATTTGAGTTGTGTAAGCATTGCTAATTGGCTAACTGCCTGCTTCTTATCTGAGAGACCCAAGGAAAGGATTTAGCTTGAGAGGAATAGCTAGTAAGTATCAAGCTATATTGAATGATTTCCATACATCATTTGACTCTCATGACAATTACTATTACTATTATTTTTTTACTATTACTATTATTACCCTATTTTTAATAAGAAGAAACAGATCCAGAGAGGTTAAATGATGAGTGCAAGGCCATGACAGTCTTCTGATTTAAAACACCATTGATGGGGGGCAGGGGTGTTCTTAATTAAAAATTTGGTCTATGTGGAGCAACAAAAATTTTTATAGAATGTAAAAATAGTATTGTAATATATATATTTTTTATTTCAACATAAGTACAATTTACAAATATAATACATTAAAAAAATTATGTATAGGGCGGTACCTGTGGCTCTAAGGAGTAGGGCACTGGTCCACCTGGGCGACCTTGCCCAGGAGGGGAGTAGGGAGTTTACATCAGCCTTTTCATTTCCAAATGCAGTTACATTAACCTCTTCATTCCCAAATGGAGTTACATTAACCTTTTCAGCAGCCGAACCATATACTCCCTTCCCGTTGTCCCGCCTTTGCCTAGCTTGTTGTGCATTCTTTCCAAAAATAGGGACTTTTTAAAAATGCCGTGGGACGCAGGACAAATTGTTAAAAATCGGGACTGTCCCGCCAAAAGTGGGATGTCTGGTCACCTTATACTACAGGCAGAAGCTATTTCAGTTCCTTAGACATCTGAGACAAATTTTAAAAAATAGGCAATTTGCCAAAAGCAACAGAGGGGTTAGATGCTAGGTTGATGATTCAGTTTGATTCCTTTATTAGTAACTTTTAAATTACATTCTTCCTTTACAGTCCTCCAGTAGGGGGTAAGTATGGTAAGGAATACCGATGACTTTTTTCTCTAATCTCATTCATATCGATGTTTGTAAACAGCTCAGCACAGACACCGATTTTAATAAGAAAGCTCCGTTTGGGGTCATATTAAAATTTAAAAGGTGAGAGTAATAAACTGTTATGTGCCTTGGAGTATATAAGTGATTAGCATTATAAATTTCATAAATCATTAACACAGAGAGCCCTATATTGTTTCATACAGATTTACATTTTGAATAAATTCTAGGACTTGATTGATTGTTGGACCTAATTCCTGATAAATATATTGCTTTCTTCTTTTTTGTTAAATCAAATACACATAGATCACGAATACATTTATGCATATGTGGGGTACAACGTGTTGATTTTTTTTTATAGAATCTGATGTGGTTACCTCAAACCAGTCAAAATAGCTTTTACCTCATTTACTTGATTTTTGTGTTAAGACATTTATGTTCTACACTTGATAGATTTGACTTGTACCCTTGCAATATGCTGCATAGGTGTGGTCCCACCTTATACCCTCCCACTATCAAACCTCCTCCTCTCCCCTCCCTTCCCACTCCATTTCTCTCCTAAATCCTGGGCTATAGTTGTGTTCTATCTTTCATAGCAAAGTGTGAGTAAATATAAGTATGTTTCATAGAAGTACTGAGTACATTGGATACTTTTTCCTCCATTTTTGAGATACTTAGGAAAATATGTTCCGGGTCCATCCATGTAAACATAAAAGAGGTAAAGGCTCCATCTTTTTTTAAGGCTGCTTAGTATTCTATGGTATAAATATACCATAATTTATTAATCCATTCATGGATCAATGGGCACTTGGGCTTCTTCCATGATTTGGCTATATGAATTGAACTGCAATGAATAATCTGGTGCAAATATCTTTTTTGCAAAGTGATTTTTAGTCTTTTAGTCTGTAGTTTTGGGATTTTGTGATGTGGGCTACTCTTACTGGAGTTAGATGGTATCTCAAAGTGGTTTTGATTTGCATTTCTCTGATGATTAAAGATGATGAGCATTTTTTCATGTGTCTGTAGACCATGTGCCTGTGTTCTTTGGAGAAGCTTCTCTTCAGGTCTCTTGCCCATAGTGAAATGGGATTACTTGTTCTTTTCTTATTAATAAGTTTGAGTTCTCTGTGGATTTTGGTTATCAGACCTTTGTTGGAAACATAACCTGCAAATATCCTCTCCCATTCTGAGGGCTGTCTACTCGCTTTACTGTGTTCTTGGCAGTGTAGAAGCTTTTTAGTTTGATCAATCCCGGTAATGTATTTTTGGTATTGCTTTAGTTGATCTGGGGGTCCTCCTCATAAAGTTTTCTCCCAAGCCCATTTCTTCAAGTGTTTCTCCTGCACTCTCTCCAAGAATCTTTATGGTTTCATGTCTTAGGTTTAAGTTAAAGTCTTTTATCCAGTGAGAGTCAATTTTTGTTAGAGGTGAAAAGGTGGGTCCAGTTCACCCAGCACCTCTGGGGGAAATATATTGCTTTCTTAAAAGCAAAATTCCACACATTTATTAGGGAAAGAAGGAGTTTGATCTCTTGAGCTACTTATGTGAAGTAGAAAAGCAATTATAAAACATTCCTTCTTGGCTTGGTGCCTGTAGCTCAAGTGGTTAGGACACCAGCCACAAAGAGCTGGCGGATTCTAATCCAGCCCAGGCCTGCCAAACAATGACAACTACAAGCAAGGAATAGCTGGGCATTGTGGTGGGCACCTGTAGTCCCAGCTACTTGGGAGACTGAGGCAAGTGAATTGCTTAAGCCCAAGAGGTTGCTGTGAGCTCTGACACTACAGCACTCTATCTAGGGCAACAGCTTGAGACTCTGCCTAAAAAAAAATAAATAAAACTTTCCTTCTAGATCAGAAATTGAGTATGTCTTTGTGAGTAACTCATATACAACTGTTTTACCTTTGTGGAATGGGCTTTGTTCTCCTTGCCATTACTGCCATTAAAAAGCATTAAATTATTGCTTTTTAATCTGTGAAAAGTATTGGGGAAATGTCACTCTTGTTTTATCTACTTAAAAAGATGACGTAAGTTATCCCCTCAATCTTTCTTATTAAAAATATCCATAAAGCATACATAAAGCACCATGTTTACTGATGCTCAGTTAGACAACTAATATGAACAATTTACAAGACAGAACTTTCTTCCACCAATGCATGGGTTGGCAACATGGTATGATTCCTGACATGTCTTAGCTAAATGCATATTGTCAGCTGTGTGTATGTACAATCTTCCTATTGGAGTAACAAACATGGACTTGAGGAGAAAACATAGTAATACAGGGTTTTCATATACCTCGAACACCCTGTATAAGATGTCTAACCAAAAATAAAAAGCATATACAGAGGGCGCCAAAAAGTGTATGCACATTTTAAGAGAAAAAGCTATCCTATTCATGCCTGTCACATGATAACACTGGTATTCATTTAACGCCATCTTTTGAGTGAACATCATACTACACAATGCTACTGTAATTAAGTTGAATTTAGAAAAGGAATACATAGATAACATTTCTTTTTTTTTTTGAGACAGAGCCTCAAGCTATCCCCCTGGGTAGAGTACTGTGGCATCACACTCACAGCAACCTCCAATTCCTGGGCTCAAGCGAGTCTCCTGCCTCTGCCTCCCAAGTAGCTGAGACCACAGGTGCCCGCCACAACGCCCAGCTATTTTTGGTTGCAGCCGTCGTTTTGGTGGGCCCGGGCTGGATTTGAACCTGCCACCTTAGGTGTATGTGGCTGGCACCTTAGCCACTTGAGCCACAGGCGACGAGCCAGATAACATCTCTTAAAATTTTATACATCTTTTTAGCACCCACAGTATATACTAATTGAACTTGTGGCATTTCTTTTTTTAAATTTTAGGCACATCATCTTTGCTCCAAGTAGCCACAACAAATATGCTGGAGAATCATTTCCAGGGATCTACGATGCCATGTTTGATATTGAAAATAAAGCAGATCCTCATTTGGCCTGGATGGAAGTAAAGAAACATATTTCAGTTGCAGCTTTTACAATTCAAGCAGCAGCAGGGACGCTGAAAGAAGTGTTATAATCTTGGTTAAGGTCTTAACTAAGTTGTTATTAAAGGTGTTGCTGAAAGTCTGAGGATACAGTTGAACCTTCTTTTTGGTAATCCACAAAGCCAGAGTGTCCTAAAATCTTGCTTTTCATGTCATGTTTTGATTAGAGTTCTGTTTTGTTCATCTCCTTTTTTTTTTCCATTCAAATTTCCTTTATTATTTCTTATAGCATAACTATGTACATTAATGCAATCATGGGGTACAGTGTGTTATTTTCATATACATTTTGAAATACTCTCATCAAACTGGTTAACATAGCCTTCGTGTCATTTTCTTAGTTATTGAGTTAAGACATTCATACTCTGCTTTTAGAAAGATTCACTTGTAAACTCATAGCTACATAACCAAAGTGTTACTCTAACAAAATAAGAAAAAAAAATGTCAAAAAGAAGCTAAGAGAAAATTCCCTAAGTTAAATCATGGCAAGAAACTTGAGTTCTCACACTTTGCTGGTGGTCACGAAAAATAATAAAACCAGTTTGGAAATTAGTTTGGTAGTTTCTTGTTAAATTAAACATACACTTACTTTATGACCCTAAAATTCTGCTTCTCGGTATTACTCAAGAGAAGCAAAAACATTCATCACAAGAAGCCTCTTGTATGCGTGTTCATATTTATAGGAGTGAAAACAACCCAAGTGCCAAACAAAGAGTTGAATACAAGTGTGGCATATCCACAAAGGAATACTACTCAGCAGTAATAGTAACGTGTGAATACGTGAAATATTGGCACAATGTTAAGAGAAAGAAGACAGACACAAGTAATACATGATTCTACTTACACGCAGAAGAGACAAAATTAATCTATGGTGCTAGAAATTAGATTATTGATTGCCAGAGCAAATGGTAGGTCGGGGATGACAACAGGAGGAAATTTCGATGAGAATTTTCAGTATCTTAATCTGGGTGGGAGTCTAGGTAAACTCATCCTCATTATTCACACATAGAAAAAATGCTACATATCTCATTGCTGAACTATGGCCACCTTCCAAGTCCTCCCCTTGAGTCTGGGTACACACGTGCACAAGGCTTTAGAAATGTCTGCGAGGGACAAATTCATTGCCATAAGAATCAGTGCTACAGCCGCACTAAAGAATCCATCTACAATTCTTGTCAACTGCCTTTTAGCTCTTTAATAAACTTAATTCCATGGTAAAGGAATAAACACTAATAAGCAAATGAAAGTTTTAATGTTTGGTTTTGCATGGTGACTTAGATGTCTTCAGTGTCATGGTTAATAGTTCAAGAACTTTGGAGTCAGTCTCAAATTTTAAAATAAAATCTGGCTAATTGTTACACATGACCCGACACAAATAATACAGCTTTCCTTTGCCTCAATTTCTCCTTTGGCAAAATGAGCAGTAATATACTTGATGTAACCACAGAGATGTTCCGCAGAGTAAATGAAAGGTCATTATAAAATACTTAGCTAAATGACACTCTACTTGTCCAAAAATGAAAAAAGATATCAATATATTCAAGTTACTTCTTGTAACTAGTTCTTTGTGAATTTTTAAGTCACAAACAGAATTTCTGAAGTGTCCTCTAACCATGGGACTAGAACTCCACCTATCTTCAGGTTTTGGTTTTATCTTGTTGGCTTTCAGCTCCCTTAAATCTCTTCCCTCCTCTGCTTTCTAAGTCTTTTCCAGCCGATAAATATAAGTAGCTTTACTGTGAGGACAGAGGAAGAGGGACTTAAAATCTTTAGGCATCAAAAACAGCCCAAATTGGCCTCTAAAAAAAAAGTAGGCAGTCTGGGTTTATCTGATACAGTCATTCAGCTTTCATTTTACATAAAACTGTAATTATACTAAACCCATTAATTCCAATCAGCCTAAACTATCAAAACATGTAAAACCTGTGTTTTTTCTTATACTGTAAGACTATACCATGCCTAAATTGTTTTGTTGGATTCATTTATTTCCATACTTAAACATCGTACTCAAAAGGATTATAATTTTTTTTTCTTTTTTTTTGAGACAAAAGTCTATGTCTCCCTAGGTAGAGTGCTATGGAACAGCTCACAGCAACCTCAAAGTCTTGGGCTGAAGCAATTCTCTTGCTTTAGTCTCCCGAGTAGCTGGGACTACAGGCGCTGCCACAACACCTGGGTGTTTTTTGTTGTTGCAGTTGACATTGTTCAGTAGGCCCGGCCAGGTTCAAACCTGCTAGCCTTGGTGCACGTGGCCAATGCTGTAACCACTGTGTGATGGGCGCCAAGCCAGGGATTATAATTCTTTGTTGAATGAAAGGAGGATGTCCATAAAGTTCAGAATGCAATCAATTTTGCATCCTCAAAGTTAGCTTTACTACAAAACTCCCTAGTTTCAACTCTGGGTAAATTAAACATGGCCATAAATTAGTTTCTCTACTCTAAAACAGTAATTGACACCCTCATAGGGTTGTCATAAAGATTAAGCTGATTTTCATTAAAGTTCTTAGAACAGTAATCAGCCTGTAAGTGCTATAGGTGTGACAATTAAAACCAACCAACCGGTCAGTGAAAACAGTGTTAAGATCAGAGGCAGTTTATGGGGGAATACAGATACTGACCAGTTAATCAAATAAATATCCAACTGCAAACTCAACCATTATGAACAAAAGAATTATGTTGTTTTAAAACATTAATACGTCCCATTTAATTTTTTTTGGAAGGGGAAGTACAGGGTGTCCATAAAGTTTGTGTGCAATTTAAAATGGACAGCTTAAAACTGCATATGAACTTTATGGATACCCTGTACCTCAAGTTAAGGGAGGTGTCCTTTTTCCAGACTTCTCACTAATCTGACTTTAATAAAGCAACGTTTTAAAAAAGGATAACTAATTAAACAGTATCTGCTGAGTCAAAAAGGAATGGCAAATTAAATTTTTTTGACACATGCTGGGTGTGGTGGCTCACACCTGTAACCCTAATACTTTGGAAGGCCCAGACAGAAGGATCACTTGAGGTCAGGAATTTGAGACCAGCCTGAGCAAAACAGTGAAACTACACTTCTATAAGAAATAGAAAAATTAGCCAGGCATGTTGATGTGCACTTGTAGTCCTAGTTACTTGGGAGTGTGAGGCAGCAGGATCACTTGAACCCAGGGAAAGGTTTCAGTGAACAATGACCACACCGCTACACCCTAGCCTGGACCACAGAGGGAAAACATGTGTCTACAAATGTAAAATAAAAATAAAAAATAAACAGCCTTTAGAAAGACTATTCTTAAGGGAATTTTGCACAACCATGAATTCTATAAAAACTTAAAAAACAGTAACCATGCAGAAGAAAAACTTTGCAATTTTGGTATTTTAGGGATAATGTGACATGTGTGAAGTCATAGGCATCCACAATTAACTACAAATCTGTCAGATGCCTGGGCAGTCAGGAAACAGTACAGAAAAAAAACAAAAGCGCCTTCTACTTATAAAACAAATGAAAGAAAACAGAAAACAGCCTATCGACAAAACCTAAAAACAAGCTAGACTTAGCTTGCATTTCAGAACTGAGGCCATGAAATTATGACACTGGCAGAAGAGTACCAAGTAAATAACAAATATAAATGCCAGGTCAAAATAATTTGCAATAGAACATCAGCAAGAATTGAAGTGTCAAGAAGATAGAACTGTTAAAAAAAAAAAGCTACAGAATATATACTCAAATGCCCTAAAACAGACACTAGCCCTCCTAAATTGGTTTTTAAAAGTTTACTTATTATAGCTGTATGCATGACATGAAGTTTCAGGCTCAGGAATGCCTAATTTTTTTAAAAAGGAAGGGATTGGGAGGCAGTAAATCCAAGTCCTCCTAAAATATTCGCAAAAATTCTCTTTACTCATTGATGGTGAAAGAATTTTCTAAAGAAAATTTAAAAAGTTGAAGAACAAAAATTCCTGACATGAAATATAGATTATAATAAAGTAAAAATCATTTTTTTAAATTAGTATGTGATTACACCAAGAAGTTGCATCAACCTGTAAAGAACTGTTGATTCCAATTCATACTTTTAATTGTTTACAAATTAATAGCTCAAATCCTTACCAAAAAAGGATTATTACCATTAAGTCTCAGGACCTAACCCACAGGAGTTCCACTAAAAATAGATGATTACAAATTAAATGTTCCAAGTGTTCTACTTTAGTCAACAGTATTGTTTGAAGGTTAATTTCTTAATTTTGTCTGTGTTCTTTAGTAATCTAAGATTTTAACAGAAGGCAATTCATACAGGATATAAAGAACTTTTGTATTATTGTTTTTACAGCTGTCTGTAAAATCTATAATTATCTGAAAATAAGAGGTTAGAAAGAAAGCTCCATTTCTTAGGACATGACTTCTTTATACTAGTAAAGGTGGCAGGCAAGAAAAGTAACACCTTAAGTTTCTCATACTGAGTTAAGTTAGCAAGTTCACCATACACCTGGTTATAATACACCTAATTTGACTGCTTTGCTCCAGTAATTACTCTGAGTGCTAAGAAAGACAAACCGTATTTCTAGAGAAACAATTCAATAAAGTTAAACAATTTTTTATTAACTTTTTGACAAACTGATAATAAAGCGAATTCTACCTAACTATAACTATGTCCCTTTATATGTAATCTAAGATAAATATCATTTATATTTTTATCTGGGCAACAAATTCAAAACTCTTAGGAATAAGAAACAAAGTAAGATGGTTACAAATGTAACCAAACTAAATATATAAGCTGTATATATATAAAAATCAGTGCTTTGTAACTAATTCTGAGGTTATAATAATCCACTTGCTTTAAATAATAGTTCAATCACATATAACAGATATTGTTTAGGGGAAAACAGCTTCAAAAAAGAAGCATTAAAAAAACATACTAAACATTACCCATAATCAAATTATCAACTCCCCCCCAACAATAAACAAGGCTATGTCTGTTAAACAAACAGATCACTAAATCATAAAAGATTTTTGTTAAAAATTTTAAACACATCTCTAAGTACTAGACATTTATGCTTCTATTTGGGTACAAATTTTACTGCTAAAAATCTGTAATGACATTTTAATGTCATGAGAGTGTGGTTGCCAGGTTTTTTCATTTTTATTTGTAAAAGCTAAACCTTTTAATAATTATATGACTATATCTAATTGTCATTTGCTAAGGGTAATGACACATTAACTAAGATAGCACTTATGTAAATTTTTTCTTTATAAGAATTCCACGAATACCAAGAATAGGAAAACACTCAGGAGTTTGAGAAACAAACTTTTTTCATTTTTAATATATATAAGCCCAATTAATCCCCAAATTTCTGCCATAGTCTGGCCTTTAAAACATTTCTTAATTTTAGATTTTGTTTTGAGCTCTTGCTGGATCAAAAATGGATCAACTTAGTATAAACAATCTAATTTTGTCACTTATATTTAATATAAATAAAATATAATATATAATCAACATTGTATCCCTAGAATTGTGAAGCTCTTCACGAAAACCTTAATGAAAACAATTCCAAAAGAAGCTATTTAACACATAATAGTTGTCATACAGTAAGTTCATACATTTAATTTTCTCACATCCTAATGTATTTCCACAAACCTTTTAAATCTATGATTTTATAGATGTAGTTTTCCATCAGGGAGGATTTTATATGTAACAAAGTTTTTAAGAGGGTTTAATCTGTAAATCAGGTACAATTTAGTTATACCACCACACAAAGATATCATCAGAAAAGATTTTTAACATTATTGTTTTGTCTTACAAAATGGTTAATTTTGACCAAATTGATACTCCTGCAATTCCATTTGTTTCCTATATTCTTAAATCATGTTTGGCAAGTAATAAAAAATGCCTGATGTAATTTTGAAAGTCAGTTAGTTGTAAACAAATTCTTATTTGTTAACCAATATGCACCTTCTCCTTTAGCTAACTATACTACCTCTTCTTCCTCTTTAAAAAGTAATCAATGCCACATGAAATAAAAATGTAGAGCTTCATCTCAAGTATTAGAGGAACGTAAAATCCATGAAAAGACTGATTAAAAACGTGATGTTTCACCTTGCTTTATTTCACCTTGCTTAATTATGGTAGGATAGATGCAAAATAAAGTTGCTTAGTATTTCTCTGATGCTCTGTGTTTATGAGCTATTTTCCAGCTTCTTCAAGTACAGGACACAACCATGGTACTGTAAGTGAGAAGTGACTAATCAATCTTACCTAACTCAAAAGGAAGATGGGAGGCACAAAAAAGTAAACGGACTTTGGCTGAAAAAAACTAATCTTGACCCTGAAATGCCGGATTCAGAAACAACACACGAATAAACATTACAGCAGCAAGCAACCACTTCACACAGTAAGAATTCTGAAACAGGTAATAGCTTTTGTTCCTCTTCCACTCAATTTGTTCTATCTTCTTTTTGTTTTTCCAGCTTCTTGGTTGCAGGCAGTTCAAGGCTTGCCCACTGCATAGGCTCAGATTTTCTCATGGTGATCTCAATCTTTGTCGCAGTCATAGTTACGTAACTTCGCTTTACATCAATCACCTGTGACAATCAAAAAGGAATTACAGTAAACCTGGGTGGTTTTATTAGTTTCAAAGGAAAACTAAAGTCTTGCTTATGCAAATAACCTTAAATCTATGCTTCTAAGGCCATTTGTATATCTAGAAAACCTTTTTGTTAAGACATAAAAAAATTCTTATGGATTCATAATACTTACACCCCATAATTTAACATTTTGATGAAATTCCTTCTCTCCTTCAAATACAATGTGCACATTTAACTGAAAAAGATATAGAAAGTTAATTGATCAAATTCTAATTAAAGATTTATAAATGCTGATTATAAAAATATAATACTGATATAAAAATAAAGCTATTTTAAGAAACTGCTAATTTTTTTTTCTTTTTTTTGAGACAGAGTCTCACTATAGTGCCCTAGGTAGAGTACTATAGTGTCACAGCTCACAGCAACCTCAAACACTTGGGCATAAGCAATTCTCTTGCCTCAGTCTCCCAAGTAGCTGGGACTACAGGTGCTCACCAAAACACCCGGCTATTTTTTATTGCGGTTGTCATTGTTTAGCTGGACCAGGCGGGGTTCAAACCCACCACCCTTGGTTTATGTGGCTGGTGCTATAACCACTGGGCTACAGGTGCTGAGCCAAATATTTTATTTTTTGTATAAAAAAATCATTAGCAAAAAAGAAAACCTGATGAAGTTTCATACTAAGAACTAAGTACCGTATTATTTCAATTTTTTTTTTTGCTGTAGCTCTCAGAACTTAAATATCATAAGACTTCATAAATCTTCTAAGCTACTATATCTATATGTTTCACAAATAACTATCATGCAGAAATTTTCATTTAAAATAGAATTTTATGAATATAATTTATTTTTTCACATGGAAGACACTGTAAAATCTTATCTTAAAATCAGCTGCTATATGAACATTTTGTAATACATAAAAGGACATTGTACAAAACAGAATTTTTATTCCAAGTTATTTCGTGGACTTACCAATGTACTATTTGCTTCTACTCGACTAAGGTCAGGAAGTGAATTTTTAGCATATACTGAAATGGTGACTTCACCTCCAGTCTGATGCCAGTCATGCCTACATGGAACAACTTTTTTCCCCTGTAATATAAAACCTTTCTAAGTTGAAAATGTACCACATATTTAATTTCTTAAAAAGAGAAATCTGACCCTTCTAATTGAGAAAAAAATCACCATGCCTTATTGTTTTTATGGCAAATATCAAAACTTTTCACCAAGATGCACCATGATGCAAACATTCTTCATAGTTTAATAATGCTACCAGCTTAAATACTTAGTGCATTTATGAAAAAAAATTTAAAAAATACATCTTCTTCAAGGGTTATATTCTAAAAATAGAAAATAACTATTTTTTCAAACTGTAATTTTTGAACTTTTGAACCTTGGAAAATATAAAGAGACAGCCCTCAATTTCTGCTAATAAAACATTCCTGAAATTTTGTGGTAGATACAGTATTATAACTTCAGGGGTATATTTATGATATCTAATCCATGTATTATTGACAAGCAGCAACTACTGAATACTGAAAACATTTCTAAACTAATTTGAAAAATTAATACATTATAAAATATATGTAGCTAACAGAAAAAAACTTACTTAGCAATAAAGTGCTTGTCTTATTATAATTTAATGAGCTTTGGAGAATAATTTGTATAGCCCTAAATATTTTATAAAAGCTGTATAGCGAAGTAAGTAGGAAGTGATGCTTTCTTTTTTCTCTTCATAAATTTCCCCACAGCAAAGCAAAGGCATTCAAGAGAATTCCACAAAAACAAGTCTGCAATCTTCCCCTTTGGGCACTAGATGGAGTGTTTGTGCATCTGTACAGTCAATGGTTAAATTTTTAAGTGACCAAAAAATAATCAGTGGTCTAAATATTCAGTATCAAATAACTAGAAAAGTAATTTTTAAAGAACTAAGAGTAGAAACAGACTACAGAGTTAATTTTTTTTGCAGTTTTTGGCTAGGGCTGAGTTTGAACCTACCATCTCCGGTATATGGGGCCAGTGCCCTACTCCTTTGAGCCACAGGCACAGAGTCAATTTTATTAAAAAAAAGAAAAGGAGATTTCAATTTGGGCAGGCTTAAGTATTTCACAAAAACCAATGATGTCTATTTTGCTTGTGCACTAGGTAGGAACTCGACTCAGATTAATTTTACTTTGTAGACATGTCAGAGCTTTATGGTGTAAGAAAGAGAGCTTTTATAAAAATCTAATGACAGAATAATCTCAAAACTTTTAAAAATGATTCAGATGAATATAACCCAGTCTGTTTATTTTGGAAGTCACTTACAGCATCCTTTTTTGTCCACATGTGTTTCCCTGTTGTACAGCCCTCTTGGGCTAAGAATGTGTTAAAATCAGAAGTTTTTCTTCTACAACAGCTCCAGTATTTCATCCTTTAAATCATCATACAAACATTCAGAAATAAAATCTCATAACCAATTAAATTCAGAATTATCGTAGTGACAAGTGTGATTTAAAAAAAGTTAAATGTACAACTTTAATATCGTGCAAGTGTTTAAGTTACTAAACAGCTAAAAATGGCCACACAGTATATCAGGAACATTAATAATCTTAAAATTTGAATGCCATTTATTATATTAATTTTGGAGTAAAGATAATAAAATTCCATCAGCTTTCACTGATAGCTCACACTCCCCATTTTCCCACGAAACTACCAAAAAGTGATAATGAAGTAACAAAGATTTATAAGGCTCAAATTCAATGTATCAGTAAATCAAGAACTCTTAAGCATACTACAAACTAGTATTACACAACTTGTGATGGTCAATCTCAAAGTACATGAAATTCTCTATTATTTACATGAGAAAAATCCAACATAGGAAGTAAGAAGTTACAGTAAAACTTCAGGTTTGAGTCCTGAAGAATATAGAAACAGTGGAAGATTTCAACATGGTACTGTGCTTCCATAAACTTAAACATAATATAGAAGAGAGAATCTCAATTGAGAGCTACAGAAAAATATGGGTCTTCTTGGGTAATTAGCAAATAACAGCCCAAACTCTTAATGGCATTCAATGTGCAATTCAGTCAGCCTTTCAAAAAAAAAAATTGAGCCCCCCAAAAGAAGCATCATATTGAAATACAGAGCATAAAGAAAAACACGGGGTTTCTGAAACACAATAACTATAACCTTATTTCTGTTTTCTCATATACAAAAAGAGGACAATTGTATCCTAGATTTCTAAGTTACTGTAAAGATTAAATGGCAATGTAAGTAAAATGGTTTGGCAAATAATGTTTAAAGGCATTAAGGCTTAATTTTCCTAAACTCTACCACAAAGTACTTTAATAAGTCATGAATAAGTTACCCCTCATGAAAAATAGGTACTCCAGAGTGATAAACACAGACTTCTTCTAGACTTTGTAGACCCTGATATGTCTAAAAGAGAAAAAAAAAAAAAAAGAAAAAAATTAGCTGCATATCTTAGTTACATCTCTTACTGAATCTGTGGTCATCACTATGAAAATAATTCAACCTTTTAAGTATGAGGTCCCAAACAATCATAGGTATTTAAACTTATAGTTGAAATCAAGGAATCAGTATTCTCAATAGAAATATGGCTACAGTATGACTTATTACACTCCATGTGTCCACTATCAATTAATATGGAAAAATTAATCGGCAATTCTCCAAGTTCTAGAGTGATGGTAATTTTTTTAATTCTCATCAAAGGTAAAATGAGCTGCAGACCTGTATGTATCTCCAAAGTTTATCTGCAAATTTCCAGACCCTGTTGCTGCTGAAAGAGAAGGCTCCACAGACAAATTCACAAAAACTTATGGTAATAAAACATGGTGTAGCCAATAGTTCCTTCTATTTTTGTATTTATAGTAATCACCTACAAGAATAGAAAATCAAACTCTTGTATTTATTTTTGTAAATCCAAAGCATAGTACTAGATACATAAATATCCCAAAGATAGTACACAAGCACATAAAAAGCTCTATATGTAAGGTTCTGAATTTATCACCACTGTCCCCCCAAACTATTCTTCACCCCATATTATTCAATGCATCATATCTAGTCTTCCAAAGTAATTCTGTAATACAGTCCTCTTTAGTTTCACCTCTTACTCCACACATTCAAATTCTTATAATTACTTCACACTTTATAAGATAATCCATTCCAGTTGGTCTGCATATTTAAATGTCCTCCTTTTTAACCTCTTTTTAGTTATGTATTTCTGTATTTACTTAGTTGGCTCTTAAATGTCCTTTTACACGAGAAAATTCTCGTGTAAAAGTAAAGATTCCTAAACAGGACATTATCAATAGTCACCAAGGAAAAGATAGATAAATTGGATTTTCTTAAAATAAAAGAGCCTATTTATCAAAACCATCATCAAAGGACATCTTTAAGACAGTGAAAAGACATCAGTATCTCTGACAAAGGACTCAACTAACATATATATATATATATATATATAAAATTCCTATAAATCAGTAAGAAAAAGATAATTAGAAAAACATGGACATTTTACATAAGAAAATATACAAATGGCTAATAAACATTCTCAACCTAACCATCAGGGAAGTACAAATCAAAACTGCAATGAACACTACACACAACAGAATAACTAAAATATAAAAAACTATGTACCAAAGTGTTGCTGAAGTGTAAGACAAATGGAACTAGCCTCATATCTGGTAGGGCAAAGTAATATAACCACTTTGGAAAACTACAGGGAATTATCTGTTTAAAGCCAAACATAAAGAGATTAAACATCCCATACTGAAATACTGAAATCCAAAATGCTCCAAGATATAAAATTGGCATGATATTCAAAGAAATACTCACTAGATTATTTTAGACTTCTGGATTAGGGATGCTGAACCAGTTAAGTATAAACAAACATTAAAAAAAAAAATCCCAAATATCTCTGACCCCAAACATTAAAGATGAGGAACATTCAGCTTGTATGTGTGTCCCAAAAGTCATAAACAAGAATGTTTACAGTAGTATAAATCAAAGAAAAAATTTTAAAGGATAATAAAAAGAAAAAATAAATTGTGGCACATTTAAACAATGGCATGGCTTAAAGCAACGAAAGAGAATAAAACTATAGCTATATTGCAACAAAGGCTAACTATAACAAAAATATCATTAAACAAAAGAGCCAAAATATGAAAGTGTACACTTTTTACATTAAACTAAAAAATAGGCAAAACAAATTTATGTTGAGAGAAAATGTAGGTTACCTTTGGAGAAGGGCATAACGAACGAGAAGAGGCAAAACCAGACTGCACTGCAATGCTGGTGTGTTTAAGAAAATCTTCTGAGCCATAAACTTAAATCTGTATATCTTTTAACAAATTTTAATGTTGTATTTCAATAAAAAAAATTAAGAATTTCTTTAATGGCCTTTGTAAACTAAGATGAGGTTTACCTTCCCAGCACTAGTAACGCCTTCTTGGATTTCACCCGTAAGTATCTCTATCAAACTCAACTCCACAGCAGCAAATTTTGTACTACTACTATTGTTTTCTGCTATCACCTACACTTGAAATGTCCTTGGTTTTTCCATTTATAAAATGGTCATTTGATCTTCAAAATTCATCTGATAACCTCCTCCTTGACTTACACTGCCATCCTCAGTCCAAGAATTACTCACTCCTTGGCATCTACTACCTCTACCTGGCTTCACAAATCTTACACCAGCCAGGGTGGAGGGTAGAGATTTAGATGGATCATAAGAAAAATAAATATGCAAAATTAATAATCTAAGGTAAAAAGGGACATAAAGAAAAAAAGAGAGAAAATATTGAAGGGTGAGCAATTTTTATGTTAAGTAAGCAGGAAAAGGCCTGAGAGGTTTGATTACATCCCCCATTTAATAAACACCCTTAAAACTTTCTAATTGTACTGATTGTTTCTCCCTAGCTGGTTTTTCTTCCAATTCCACTCTTGCACCACTACCAAATAGTCTTTTAAAAATCCCTCCCTAAAAGAGGTAATGGCTTCCCAGCATACTTAGAATAAAACCCAAATCTCTGATTATGGCTTATGAGAACCTCTATAATCCTGCCGATCTCTCTGACCGGATACTGTCACACCCTTGCTCAGACTCCACAGACCTTGTTATTTCTTGCACAGTCATGTTCTAAAGCCTCTCTTTACTCTTGCTGCTCCCACTATCTATAGTACTCTTTTTCCTCCAGGTTCATATAACTCATTTGCTGTATTTATTCAGTGGCATCACATAAAAAAATACTTCACTGAGAATCTCAAAAAATATTTAGCTCCCAAGTCTAACCACTCCAGTTCATATAACTTATCTGCTATATTACTAAGTGTCACCAGGTCAAAAAATACTTTGCTGACAAATGTACACATTTAGCTGTCAACTCCAGAACCTCCAGCTTCTTGGTCTGCTTTATTTTCTTCCTATCTACTTGAAATCATATACTTAATTACCTATTTATTGTCCTTCTCCACATAGGAGAATATCAGCTTCAGAAGAACACAGATTTTTGCTTTAATTTATACCATATATCCTACCCTTAAAACAGCATGTGGTACATGGAAGAGCTCAAGGAATGCTGACTCATCTGAAATTTATTTCCCTGATTCTATCAGTTACTGTACTGTATCTGATACTTTTTAGAAACAACTTATCCATGTTAACAGCTCTAGTCCACAGCACAATATCTAACATATAACAAGCATGCAAATATCTGCTGAACTTTTTGCTGAAATGTACTTTTTTCAAAATTAAAATTTTACTTCATAACCCATCAAAAATTTTGTAATATATACCTTTGAACATCCTCCATTTTTACATGAGGTTCCAATCTTAATTTCATCACTATCTTCTTCTGAAACAAAAAATGAAATTAAAAAGATAAACTTCATTGCAGTATCATTCTCAAAAAGCAAGCTTTTCCATTAATTAAACAATGCTTTTAAGAAAACAACTATTGTGTTTAGTTTATGTCTATAATCCCAAAATAATATATAATGCTTTTCTATCCTGTAATAAAATGCTTTATCTTAATTTTGTAAAAGAGAAATTATGAAAGGGTATTTTCCTCCTATAGTATCAGGTATAGGACAGAAAATACCAAGTATGTTCTTCATCATGCACAAGAAACAATGAACTGTAAAAAAAAAAAAAACCCTTTCAACAGGTTTTTATTTTTAAGACATAATAAAATGAGCCATACATTAATTCTGTAGCATTATTGATATTTTACTACAATATGCTCTTCCATATTTACATTTAGTAAACTACTGAGGTCTCATTTGGATGACTGCTTAAATTGTACAGAAAATAATTACAATAAAACAAAATAAAATCTTACCTTTCTTATCTTCTTCATTCCCTGATGACAGCTTAAGTTTATCAAGTGCTTGTTTTAAGGAAGCAGATATTTTTAATTCCAAATTTGTCATTGGTTCATCTGGGCTAGAGAATTTTGAAAACTTATTATTACCATTAATATGTACCAAAATATTTCTTATACTCAAAAGCTTTTTAAGAAGCCAAATGCTTTGTGAATCAAAAAGTATTTTACAAATAATTGTTATGATGTGTCTACTTTCTAAGTTTTAAAAGAAAGCACTCTCAGCTCGGCACCTGTGGCTCAGGCGGCTAAAGCACCAGCCACATACACTGAGCTGGCGCGTTTGAATCCAGCTTGGGGCCTGCCAAACAACAATGACAGCTGCAACCAAAAAACAGCCGGGTGTTATGGTGGGTGCCTGTAGTCCCAGCTGCTTGGGAGGCGGAGGCAGGAGACTTGCTTGAGCCCAGGAGTTGAAGGTTGCGGTGAGCTGTGATACCCAGGGCAACAGCTTGAGGCCCTGTCTCACAAAAAAAAAAAAAAAAAAAAAAGAAAAAAAGAAAACATTCTCATATTAAAATAATTAAGTCTCAAGTAATCATGCTATTGACAGCACATTTAATTATAAATCAGATGCACTAATGGGAAGGTACTTTATTAAGACTAGAAATCCAAGTTGGTCAAAAAGAGTAACTCTAAGGAAAGGACTGCAAAGTACTTCTATATTCCATGCCCAACAAAATGCTGAGCATGTTATAAATAGGCAACAAATAAGTACTAAGTGAATCCATACTCACTTCCACATAAATTTACTTTATGTGGACACTTGTATATGGACCAAATTCAGTTACAACACTATCTCAAGGAAATTTCAGCAGCGTTAGAAAAAAAATATCCTGTAACATTTCATAATAGTTAGGTTTCCTATATACAATTTGGGTTTAAGCCAATTTAAAAAGTATTAATAATTTAACAAATGCAGCAATAAAAATAGAAGTCCTAGTTATTTATTTCATATTCACAATGGAAAAACTGACATGGGAGGAATTAAAAAAGTACATAAAAAATGTTGTCTTCATACTTTTTATAGTACCACCAAATGAATTCACAGTTACGTATGGAATTTCTCTGACCCTTAAGTAAAATTATTAGTAGTCCATCATTTAAAAAAAATTAATTCATATTATTCTATAAGATTATACTTTATTATTAAAGAAAATGAGAGGGAGCTATAACAGAATTTTTGTCTTTTTCTAATAGTTTATTTAACTACCAAATGAACTATCAAGGCTTTTGATAGTCTCTCATAATTACAAATAAGACAGACATGGAATAAAATCATTCTGAATAGCTTCTTTAACAATGATCTGTATCCAGAATGTTGATGAACAAATAAACACCTCAAGCCCTTGAGGGCTTTTATCTTGGTCCTACATCATCTAATACTATATAAATATAAGTAGGATCAATAAAGAAAATGTTGGGAATACCATGAGTTCATAATAAGAATAAAAATTTCAACAGGGAGGCTGGGTGTAGTGTAATCCTAACAGTCTAGCACTCTAGGAGTCCAAGACTAGCCTGAGGAAAGTGAGACCTGGTCTCTACTAAAAAACAGAAAAATTAGCCAGGCGTTGCAGTGGGCACCTGTAGTCCCAGCTATTTGGGAGCCTGAGGCAGAAAGATTACTTGAACCCAGGGAGTTTGAGGTTGGTGTGAACCAGGCTGCCACCACAGCACCATAGCCTGAGGCAATAGGGTGAGACTCTGCCCCCCAAATAAATATTTTAACAGGGGTTTAATATTTGAACCCCATAATCATGTTTTTAAAGATCTCCAGCTAATGCAATACAAAGAATAGCTGACATAACAGAGAGACTCAATACAGATGTGTGGAGAGTCTGGTTCTTACAAAGTGAGGATGGAGAATCTATATGATTTTACTACAAAATGAGCAGAAGCTGGCCGGGCATGATGACTCATGCTTGTTGTCCCAGTGCTGTGAGAGGTCGAGATAAGTGGATCGCCTGAGCTTAGAGGTTCAAGACCACCATTGAGACCAGCATGAGCCAGAGTGAGACCCTGTCTCTACCAAAAAAAAAAAAAAAAAAAGCCGGGTGTGGAGGCAAAGGGCGAGACAATCACTAAAGGAAGAAAGCAAAATCAAAATGAGCAGAAGCTATATTAAGACCACCTCAAAATATATATCATCTAAATCAAATATATCAAAAATTCACCAGCATTAATGAGATTAACAAGTTTTTCCAGAGATTTGGAAGTAAACACGAGTGTTTAAGCTTCTGTGTTTCTTTTTCTTTTTTTTTAAAAAACTGTCTTTACTTAGAAGCATTCAGAATATCAACAAAACAGCTGCAACTTTTTTTTGCAATTATAGAGTGGTATTCAGTTAACAGAACAATTATTTTGTATAAGCTGCATCAGAGACAACTGAAGATGAAAAAACAACCATCCCCATATATAACTAATTTGTGCTGTGCCCCAACAAGAACCTGCTTTAAATTTCCATGACAATTTACAACCCCCATACTGCACCAGGCAAGGTTAGTGGCTACTGAAAATACCACCAGGACAGGGCTATCTAAAGACACATTCGGTAGATAAGAGTGTTGACTATATAAAAAAAGACACTGTACAGTTTAAAAACAAATCTTACACAGCCTTACACTTCAATTTTTTTCTTTAGAAGGAGTTATGTATAGAAGGGTTAAATGCTTTATAGACAAGAAAAAAAACTGCACTAGAACCAACTTATTCATCATCATCATCATCTTCATTTTCCTCCTCCTCGTCATCCTCTTCAACTTCTTCATCTTCCTCCTCTTCCTTCTTTTTCTTGCTTTTTTCAGCCTTGACGACTCCCTTTTTCGCTGCATCAGGCTTTCCTTTAGCTCAGTATGCAGCAATATCCTTTTGGTATTTTTCCTTCAGCTTTGCAGCCTTCTTTTCATAAGGCTGCTTGTCATCCGCAGCAGTGTTATTCCACATCTCTCTCAGTTTCTTTGTAACATCACCAATGGATAGGCCGGGATGTTCTCCTTTGATTTTGGGGTGATACTCCGAACAGAACAAGAAGAAGGCCAAAGGAGGCCTCTTGGGTGCATAGGGATCCTTGAACTTCTTTTTTATTTCCCTTTTAGGAGGGATATAGGTTTTCATTTCTCTTTCCTAACGGGCCTTGTCTGCCTTTGCCATATCTTCAAATTTTCCTTTCTCTTTAGCAGACATGGTCTTCCACCTCTCTGAGCACTTCTTAGAAAACACTGAGAAGTTGACTGAAGCATCTGGGTGCTGCTTCTTGTGCTCTTCCCGACAAGTTTGCACAAAGAATGCATGTGACGACATTTTGCCTCTCAGCTTCTTAGGATTTCCTTTGCCCATGTTTAGTTATTTTTCCTCAGCATGGCACAGAGTTACCCAGTGCTCGTCCGGCTCTCACTTGCCCAGGCCCTGTCTTTATGGAGCTCAATGTACTCTTGTGTTTCTTTTTCAATTCTAACTGATTTAACAACACCTTAAACAAATTTCACCGTGCCACAGTGAAAAAGATACATGCCAAAAGACAAGAAAGAGGTATGGCTCCACCCACATGAGATTACATGTACCTGTTATCACAATGATACAGTAAGCAAATCTGTAATGAGGTTTTACTGAGTACATGATTAGCAGGCTGATGGGAATAAACATTGAAGGCAGATTAGAGAAGAACTAAATAGTTCAAAACTTGGTGGCCTACACGGTAGCTACAATGAATGGTATTATGCTAAATCATAAAAGGAAATGCCATGAACAAACATTATTATTCAAGGGCAACAAAAATATGCCAATTGTTTATATAAAGCATACCTGGGCCTTTTTATTGCTTCTACTGGTTTGGGGGCTTGAATGATGTGCTCCTGAAATTTAGGTTTCAATTCAGAGAGTTCTTTCTTCTCAGAAGTCTTGACTTCAGGCTTGATAGGCTCTGGGGGCTTTTCACTGCTGTGCCTGCCTTTTGTACAGCCCTGTCAGTGAAAGATACTCATGAAGAGTTTTGTGCCAAGAGAGAATTATTTTCATTTCTTTACCAATTAATTGTATTTTACATTTTCTCCAGTTTTTATGATGATTTGAGAAACTAAAAAATAGGATTCCAAATCTGCTGTATTTTTAAATGAGTTTTTAAATCTGAATAGATTATCTTTTTCTTTAAAAAAAAGAGCTTTAGAATTACACTTCACAAATATCTATTTATTCCATTAAATATACAGCATGAACTTGTTTAGAGATGGCTTCTGGAGAAACAAAGAAAATTCTAAAAATTATTTACATAACAAAAATCCATTACTCATAAAAGCCTCAATTTGACCCCGCAGTCTCTTATTTACTAGCTATGACTTTGAGCAAGTAGTGAATCTTTCCAAATTACAGTTTCCTTATCTGCAAAATAGAGATAATGGCACTTAAAATATTTTTAAGAGAATTAAGTAAAACAGAATACTTGGCACATGTGGCAGAGGTAAATGCTTAAACGTGGTACTATACCACATTCCATGAAGCCATATATACATTTTAACACTCTGAAATCATACAGTGGCATGTCAGTTTACTAGCAGCTTCAGTTTTGTTTCTTAGTGGTACACAAAATAATGGTGCATCTTGATAGCATCTTAGATTTGGTAAAAATTTATCATTCCTAATGGAAAATGCCTTCAATTACTGCCTATCAGATTCCTTCCTATTGTTCTTTCAACATTTGATTTCAAGAATAAACCTTTGTCCTTAAGATTCTTTTTTTTTTTTTTTTTTTGAGATAGAGCCTCAAGCTGTCCCTCTGGGAAGAATGCCATGGCATCACAGCTCACAGCAACCTCCAACTCCGGGGCTCAAGCGAGTCTCCTGCCTCTGCCTCCCAAGTAGCTGGGATCACAGGCGCCCACCACAACGCCCGGTTATTTTCTGGTTGCAGCCGTCATTGTTTGGCGGGACCGGCTGGATTCGAACCTGCCACCTTAAGTGTATGTGCATCTTAGGCACTTGAGCCACAGGCACTGAGCCTGTCCTTAAGATTCTCAAAAAAAAAAAAAGACAAATGGGTAATTAATATCTTACAATGTTAATGTCTAAAATAAATTCTTTACAGACGGTGGAAAATGAACTCTATTTTAAAAGTAAGGTGCTACCTACAGACTCTTTGAATCTGAAGCTTCTTGTATGTACTACTAGGAAGAAAATAAAAAAAAATAGTACTTACTACAATGCTTAAGAAATCAGAAAAATCAGTTGTTCTTCTCTTACAGCAAGACCAACCCTATGAAAAATAAGACAAAAACACTGAAAACTGTATTTCCATGAGAACCCTAACCCACTAAAATAGACTTTATTATCTCCTTGAATCTCAAATAACTTACATACATACATAGATTTCAGTTTTAGTGAAACTGATGATTCACCTAATTAAGTGAAATAATTTTTAAGTCTTTCTTTAAAAAAACGAAACAAAAAACACAGTTAACCATTGTTAAGGTGATCTATGTTGTGACCTACCTTCAAAAGGAAGCACCTTAAACAACTTCTGTTTTTAAGAATAGTACCTGATTTTAAGAAAAATATTTCATACTTCCTAAAATCACATGTTTAAAGCAGCAGTCCCCAACTTTTTTGGCACTAGGGACTGTTTCATGGAAGATGATTTAAGGCAGATGGAAGATGAGGCAGAGCTCAGTTGGTAATGTTATAAGGCCAGGTTCATGACAGGCCCAGAGTTTGGGGGCTACAGATTTGAAGGACCTGGGAGTAAATAAAAGTGCTTTACCTTAAAAAAATCTCCTAAGAATAATAACTTTAACAATTTAGTTTCTAAACAAAATCCACTGTAGTTCAGCAATAAGCTCTCTATTTTCTGGATAACAGATTAACATAGCACCTAAGCACTGTTAAATGCTGGAAGGTGACCTTCATAGTGAGAAGTATAGAAGTATAAAAACTGTACCTCCATTTGTGACTTTTGAACAAAATACAAGTAGCTTACAAAAAAACGGATTTAAATTATCATCTCTAATTCCAATGTACAGTAGAGAATAAAGAAATAAAAATTTTGTAGTCTCCAGACTTGGGAAGTCCCAAATTTAAGTTAAATGCTGACTTTGCACATATCTACCTGGTCTTCGCTGTTTGTCAATATGCATGAAGAATTGTTTATGATTTTTTTCCCCCCACAATATGCCCTGTCAGATTCCTTTCCCTTAAAGGAAGCTTTGAATACCCAATAATCTAGATTTTTCTTTATTTTGAAATTCAAGTCTCTTTTACTCTGCATTGAGATATAGAGATGATTCAATTACCATGACCTTAAATCCAAGGTTAAAGCAGCACTGATAATACACTTATCAGAAAAGTTAATCTGTAAGAAAAAAAGCTTTCCTCAGCTCGGCACCTGTGGCTCAAGTGGCTAAGGCGCCAGCCACATACACCTAAGGTGATGGGTTCGAATCCAGCCCGGGCCCACCAAAAACATCAATGACAGCTGCAACCAAAAAATAGCTGGGCATTGTGGCAGGTGCCTATCCCAGCTACCTGGGAGGCTGAGGCAGGAGACTCGCTTGAGCCCAGGAGTCGGAGGTTCCTGTGAGCTGTGATGCCACAGCACTCTACCCAGGGGGACAGCTTGAGACTCTGTCTCAAAAAAAAAAAAAAA